GACCACGCGGGAGTGAATTCGAGAAGTATTAAGTATGGGAAGCCGTTGGTATAAACCAATGGCTTCTGTTATCAATTATAGACATTTAAGGATATTTGTAGTGATTTCATAGTTTATTTTGTTCAGGTTAGGTTTCAACTGTTTTATGTATATAGCTTCTAGAATTTTTAGTTTTTGTTTATTGTTTTCGTGTTTAAGTATAATTGTGTTTTCGACAAGGATTTTACGGAATTTTGTTTGCAGCCAGACATGTTGTTTTAAATGCCTAAAAATTTCATTCAAATGTAGTGAAAGTTTGTGGTGTGACCAAAATAAATATATATACATATATATATAGATATATAGATAGATATTCTGTTCATTTTGTTCTTTACAAGTCTACGAAACTTTTTTTTGATTTCTTCATCAGACATTCTTCAAAAATATATATATACTATCTCAGAGTCACGGCAAAGAATTCGGCTTCTTCTCATTTTGGAATAGCAGAAACAAAATTCTCCGTTCTGCAAGGAATTACATCCTGCGTATTAAAGGTGCCATCCTCTTACAAACATTTACAATCGGTAAGTTTTCAGATTTACGACTTTTTTTTTTCGTTCACATTTAACGGTTTTGATGGCAATTTTTATGAATGAATCAAATGAAAAAAAGGAAAAATGGCATTTATCTAATTCTAAATTTTCTCGGCGAGAAATGTAAATCGAACTTAAATGAGAAAAAATAATATAAAAAAAAAAAATTTCATTTTAATTATATACAAAAATATGTTTAAATTCAGATCTGAAGGAATAAAAATAGAAAATGGTAGGATAGGTTTTTTTTAAATTTTATATCCATTTTCGGAATTGAGGAATCGGAGAGCCGTTTAAATTATAAGTCGATTCCATTACATTTAATTATGTGTTAATACCTTATTGGTGTGAGCTTCTTTGAATCCTTTTTTACACAAATGGACTCACCCAGTATATACATATACTACTGCTACGTGAAGATAAGAGAGCGCAAGACCGGAAGAGAGGGGAGTGAAAAAAAAAGGTAACCGGAAAGTGAGAAAAAGGTAACAGACAGACAGAACGAACGTATCAGCAAGAGTCAACGTGAGCGAGCACGTAGACTCAGTAAGAAGTCATACGTCGATTTCAATAACACAAATTATGTATATATATTTTGCTACTAACCCGCATTCCTGGAACTACTAACCTGCATTACCAGTTTGTATTATTACGTTAATATTTTTATTTTCCTATATTCATTCTTGGCGTTTGTTATTTATTGGTACCGGATTTCAACCCGGAATCCACAGTTTTGGGAATCTTGTTGAATCCGCACACCGTTCATACATGTTTATAAATAGCAAAAGACAGACCGAGTTCTATAGGGACAAGTAACTGGTCTACCGCAAAAAAGAAATGGCATGACTGTATGTAAAAAATGATATCGATAGATACATGATCGCTAAGCGTGTATCACGTATGGCACATAACTGACTGACTCAGATAACATTTCAGTGTGAATTCTTCTTGATTTTTAATTGCCAAATTAAATATTCTTAACAAATTTTTTTTACATTGTCACTTCTTGTGAGCGAGGTCCTTCCATTCTGATGATAAATGATTTATTTTGTCTCTATCTCACGGAGATTACATCCACTCGTCAGGAGATTAGATTGTAGAATAGAGACATAATCAATCAAGATGGATGATGGCAACAAATATTTAATATATTATTTCAAATGTTCTGTGGAACAAAATTTTCTTTGTCTGTGTTCTCATATTCCTTTCTTTAACCTTTCTAACATTTATGGCTCGTCTATTTTTTTTTTATTTAAACGTTGTACAAATATGGATTAGTTCCAAATACGGAAAGGGAATAAGGAATGCTCAAGTATTTGTTACTGCATAATTCACTTTTGTAATTTGTATTGCTATATATAAATCCATATATTAAAGAATTTTTATAAAATATTTTTACCCGTCCCTAGCCATCACTAGTCAGTTTTTCAATCACCAACCCCCAGATCCTGTTTGAAATTTTTCAAAAACTCGATTAATTTTAAAATGAAATATAATTTATATCCTTTAATTTTCTTTAATTTTTTTTAAAAAAAAGATATATATATATTTTTTTGTTTTTCATTTGGTTTTTTTTTTTTTTTTAACATTTGGGGACCTTCTAAAAAGGAGGGGGATTATCAAACTTTTTTAACTTGTTCCAATTTTTCAATTTAGAAATACTACCTCTTTCCGTTAAATTTATGGATTAAACAGTAATAATTAAAAAATAAAAAAATCATTATTATCAGAATTGAAAGAAATTGCAACCTAAAAATATTTTATGGCTTTAAAAAAACACAAAAGGTTGATGGATATTAAAAAAAGATGACTGACAATTACTTTTTTAATTAATTCCTTCTAACATATTAATTTTAATAAATTTCACATTTTTAAAGCGTAAATCATTAAAAGTATATTTGGGACGATGGATCAGAGAAACTAAGATACTACACAAACGAAATAAAAAAATATTGTTGATAACGAGTTTAAACAGAAAAAACAGATGATGGCATTGATCTCGATTTAAATTTTGTTAATAATTCAGCCTAGTAGGGCCGAGGATGGAAAATTTAGTATTTTGATCCCAGGTTTGAAAAAGTAACGAAAACCTGATTTTAAGCAGAATAAAAATAGATTTTCTGAAAAATGCATAATCAAGAAGCTCAGAAAGATCTGGGATAATGGCAGATCTAAACTCTGTTAATCATAAGATAAAATAAAAAAAAATAAAAAAAAAAACGTAGAGGTCGTATACAGAAGAATTAAGAATTTACAGAAAACCTTTTGCTAAACATTTAGGAACAAA